GTACAGCTAATGCGTTCCTTTGTTGTCTGTCAGCAGCAACAATTAAGAACGCGTGTTTCACCTTACTGGGTAGCAACCAATTCGTTTGGTGCATTTTCTTGAGTTGCGACACAGTGGCTTTATACCACTGTGGCCATGGCAAATCTTTGTTCGTGGTTGTTTTTGTTGGGCCCTGCCCCTTTTGCTGTTTGCTTTGCTTCTCTGCTGGATGGCGAAACGCATATCTGGCTGGGGGATCTGCGTGTCGCCTTTTGTGTGGTTGTCTCTGTGTTTGTTATTTGTTGTTGATTTGCCATGCTACATGACCACAGGTGTCAATGTAGATTTTATTTCAAACTGCTTCTTCACATGTAAGGACCGAGCCTTAGAGCGTGATCGGCCATACCTGAGGAAAAAAAATAACTTTTTGCAACCAACAGATCCTTTTACTGGTAACGTTACTTTTTCAGGTTTGGAACCATGAGTTTCAAGCTTTCGCAACCGGCCATTCCTTACAATGATAGTTGCTCAGCTTCGAAAACATATAGTTCTAACCTCTGGGAACCGGCAATTCCTTGCAATGGTAACGTCTGGTTCCCAGGTTGGGAACCGTAAGTTTCAAGGTCTGGGAACCGGCAGTTCTCTTGCCATGGCAACCTTTGGTTCCCACGTTGGGAACCATCAGTTCCAACCTTTAGGAAACGGAAGTTCTTGGCAATGGTAACCTATGGTTCCCAGGTTGGGAAGCATGAGTTCCAACCTCTGGTAACCGGCAGTTGCTTGCAATGGTAACCCATTGTTCCCGAGTTGGGAACCAGGAGTTCCAACCTCTGGGAAGCGGCAGTTCCTTGCAATGGTAACCTGTGGTTCCCACGTTGGCAACCGTGAGTTCCAACCATTAAGCAAAACAAAGCGTTCTGTACCGGTCCATTAAGCAAAACCATATAATTGTAAAGAAACATATAATTTTGACATGCACCTTTTTCGTTCAAAAACATTTTTATGCCGGCCCAACAGCCAAACGCAAACATTCCGCTACCGGTCCATCAAGCAAAACAAAAGGTTCTGTTACCGGCTCAGTAAACAAAACAAAACAACATTAAGAACCATGAGGTTTAACTTTTTGCAACCAACAGATCCTTCCACTGGTAACGTTACTTTTTCAGGCTTGGAACCATGAGTTTCAAGCTTTCGCAACCGGCAATTCCTTACAATGATAGTTGCTTAGCTTCGAAAACATAAATTCCAACTTCTGGGAACCGGCAATTCCTTGCAATGGTAACCTCTGGTTCTTGGCAGTTCCTTGCCATGGTAACCTTTGGTTCCCACGTTGGGAACCAGGAGTTCCAACTTCTGGGAACCGGCAGTTCCTTGCAATGGTAACCTGTGGTTCCCAGGTTGGGAACCGAAAGTTTCAAGGTCTGGGAACCGGCAGTTCCTTGCCATGGTAACCTTTGGTTCCCACGTTGGGAACCATCAGTTCCAATCTTTAGGAACTGGAAGTTCGTTGCAATGGTAACCTGTGGTTCCCAGGTGGGAGCCGGCAGTTGCTTGCAATGGTAACTTTTCCCAGGTTGGGAACCATGCGTTCCAACCTCTGGGAACCGGCAGTTCCTTGCAATGGTAACCTGTGGTTCCCACGTTGGCAACAGTGAGTTCCAACCTTTGGGAACCGGCAGTTCCTTGCCATGAACCAAACGCAAACATTCTGGTACCGGTCCATTAAGCAAAACAAAGCGTTCTTTACCGGTCCAGTAAGCAAAACCATAAAGTTGTAAAGAAACTGTTTTCATATCATTTTAACATGCACCTTTTTCGTGCAAAAACATTTTTTATGCCGGCCCAGCAGCCGAACGCAAACATTCCGCTACCGGTCCATTAAGCAAAACAAAAGGTTCTGTTACCGGCTCAGTAAACAAAACAAAACAACATTAAGAACCATGAGGTTTAACTTTTTGCAACCAACAGATCCTTCCACTGGTAACGTTACTTTTTCAGGCTTGGAACCATGAGTTTCAAGCTTTCGCAACCGGCAATTCCTTACAATGATAGTTGCTTAGCTTCGAAAACATAAATTCCAACTTCTGGGAACCGGCAATTCCTTGCAATGGTAACCTCTGGTTCTTGGCAGTTCCTTGCCATGGTAACCTTTGGTTCCCACGTTGGGAACCAGGAGTTCCAACCTCTGGGAACCGGCAGTTCCTTGCAATGGTAACCTGTGGTTCCCACGTTCCAACCTTTAGGAACCGGAAGTTCTTTGCAATGGTAACCTATGGTTCCCAGGTTGGGAAGCATGATTTCCAACCTCTGGTAACCGGCAGTTGCTTGCAATGGTAACCTATGGTTCCCAGGTTGGGAACCATGACTTCCAACCTCTGGGAAGCGGCAGTTCCTTGCAATGGTATCCCGTGGTTCCCACGTTGGCAACAGTGAGTTCCAACCTTTGGGAACCGGCAGTTCCTTGCCATGAACCAAACGCAAACATTCCGGTACCGGTCCATTAAGCAAAACAAAAGGCCCCGTTGCCGGCTCAGTAAACAAAACAAAACAACATTAAGAACCATGAGTTCTAACTTTTTGCAATCAACAGATCCTTTCACTTGTAACGTTACTTTTTCAGGCTTGGAACCGTGAGTTTCAAGCTTTGGGAACCTGCAGTTCCTTACAATGATAGCCGCTTAGCTTCGAAAACATAAATTCTAACTTCTGGGAACCGGCAATTCCTTGTAATGGTAACCTCTGGTTCCCAGGTTGGGAACCGTAAGTTTCAAGGTCTGGGAACCGGCAGTTCCTTGCCATGGTAGCCTTTGGTTCCCACGTTGGGAACCATCAGTTCCAACCTTTAGGAATTGGAAGTTCTTTGCGATGGTAACCTATGGTTCCCAGGTTGGGAAGCATGAGTTCCAACCTCTGGGCACCGGCAGTTGCTTGCAATGGTAACCCATGGTTCCCAGGTTGGGAACCAGGAGTTCCAACCTCTGGGAACCGGCAGTTCCTTGCAATGGTAACCTGTGGTTCCCACGTTGGCAACCGTGAGTTCCAACCTTTGGGAACCGGCAGTTCCTTGCCATGAACCAAACGCAAACATTCCGGTACTGGTCCATTAAGCAAAACAAAAGGTTCTGTTGCCGGCTCAGTAAACAAAACAAAACAACATTAAGAACCATGAGTTCTAACTTTTTGCAATCAACAGATCCTTTCACTTGTAACGTTACTTTTTCAGGCTTGGAACCGTGAGTTTCAAGCTTTGGGAACCCGCAGTTCCTTACAATGATAGCCGCTTAGCTTCGAAAACATAAATTCTAACTTCTGGGAACCGGCAATTCCTTGCAATGGTAACCTCTGGTTCCCAGGTTGGGAACCGCAAGTTTCAAGGTCTGGGAACCGGCAGTTCCTTGCCATGGTAACCTTTGGTTCCCACATTGGGAACCATCAGTTCCAACCTTTTGGAACTGGAAGTTCTTTGCAATGGTAATGTGTGGTTCCCAGGTGGGAACCGGCAGTTGCTTGCAATGGTAACCTTTGGTTCCCAGGTTGGGAACCAGGAGTTCCAACCTCTGGGAACCGGCAGTTCCTTGCAATGGTAACCTTTGGTTCCCACGTTGGCAACAGTGAGTTCCAACCTTTGGGAACTGGCAGTTCCTTGCCATGAACCAAACGCAAACTTTCCGGTACCGGTCCATTAAGCAAAACAAAGCGTTCTGTACCGGTCCATTAAGCAAAACCATAAAATTGTAAAGAAACTGTTTTCATATCATTTTGACATGCACCTTTTTCGTGCAAAAACATTTTTTTGCCGGCCCAACAGCCAAACACAAACATTCCGCTACCGGTCCATTAAGCAAAACAAAAGGTTCTGTTACCGGCTCAACAAACAAAACAAAACAACATTAAGAACCATGAGGTCTCACTGTTTGCAATCAACAGATCCTTCCACTGGTAGCGTTACTTTTTCAGGCTTGGAGCCATGAGTTTCAAGCTTTGGGAACCCGCAGTTCCTTACAATGATAGTCGCTTAGCTTCGAAAACATAAATTCTAACTTCTGGGAACCGGCAATTCCTTGCAATAGTAACCTCTGGTTCCCAGGTTGGGAACCGTAAGTTTCAAGGTCTGGGAACCGGCAGTTCCTTGCCATGGTAACCTTTGGTTCCCACGTTGGGAACCATCAGTTCCAACCTTTAGGAACTGGAAAATCTTTGCAATGGTAACCTCTGGTTCCCAGGTTGGAAACCGTAAGTTTCAAGGTGTGGGAAGCGGCAGTTCCTTGCAATGGTAGCCTTTGGTTCCCACGTTGAAAACATCAGTCCCAACCTGTAGGAACCGGAAGTTCTTTGCAATGGTAACCTGTGGTTCCCACGTTGGCAACCGTGAGTTCCAACCTTTGGGAACCGGCAGTTCCTTGCCATGAACCAAACGCAAACATTCCGGTACCGGTCCATTAAGCAAAACAAAGCGTTCTTTACCGGTACATTAAGCAAAACCATAAAGTTGTAAAGAAACTGTTTTCATATCATTTTGACATGCACTTTTTTCGCGCAAAAACATTTTTAAGCCGGCCCAGCAGCCGAACGCAAACATTCCGTTCTTGGTCCATTAAGCAAAACAAAGGGTTCTGTTACCGGCTCAGTAAACAAAACAAAACAACATTAAGAACCATGATTTTTACCTTTTTTTGGAATCAACAGATCCTTCCACTGGTAACGTATGCTTTTTCAGGTTTGGAACCATGAGTGTCAAACTTTGGGAATCCGCAGTTCCTTGCAATGATAGTTGCTTAGCTTCGAAAACATAAATTCTAACTTCTGGGAACCGGCAATTCCTTGCAATGGTAACCTCTGGGTCCCAGGTTGGGAACCGTAAGTTTCAAGGTCTGGGAACCGGCAGTTCCTTGCCATGGTAACCTTTGGTTCCCACGTTGGGAACCATCAGTTCCAACCTTTTCTATCTGGGGTTTATGCCGGTGTAATTTTTTGTTTTTGTTTGCACGTTTCCTGGCATTGTTTTTTCGACCACCGCAATGAAGGCAATTTTCTGGTTCAATCATTTCATTGCTCAAATCATGGCGCTCAACAAACTCAGGCATGATTCCGGGATATGGGTTTGTTTGAAAACGATCGTCCAACATGATGCAGTTGGCTAAAATACTGATGTTGTTCATTATGATAGCCAACATGAATGGATTTTCTAGGGCTATGTTAGGATAAAATCGAGTTGCAAGCTGTTTTTTCATTGCTAACGTGTATGGTAAGGGTACCCTCCTAGGTCTATGTTTGTTTAGTGGTATTGCTTTTCTAGGGCTGAGTTTGTTTAAAGTAGAGTAATGTTTCAAAATTTTTGAAACATATTTCTGGTTCGACTGAATCAACCGTTCCCTACTTGTGAACCACACGTGTACGTTCCATTTTTCAGGTAGCACGTGATTTCTCCGTATCGTCGACTGAGTCCATTGATGGCATTTCCTGTTCACGGTTGTGTCCCCCAATTGGGCATTACCCCCGTAAACTAACGGAACTATGGAAAATCACCATTTTCAATGGGTAAATCCACTATAAATGGCAATTTTCAATAGCAAACAGTTAAATTACCAGAGGGTAATAGTAATAGTGTTAGACCACATGGGCATGTCCAAAATTCCATGTTGGGACAGCTGCAAATTCTTGCCGTTACTCCACTGCAGGATTGATTCAGTGGATGTGTCCGGGAAACGAGTTTTCATCCGCGTGGACTTCAATGTGCCTCAAGACAAGAAGGACCATATTTGCTTTGAGGGTTTTGACTTGTGGATGGCAAACCAATCCTAAACTTGTTTTTGGCATTAAATTTTGGTTTGAACATTGCGCAACATGTTTGCTTTTGTTTTGTAAAAGAACCCGTAGGGTTTGAACGCTTGGAAACTAATATCGCACTATAAAAATAGGGTGCACCCAAACCCGAGGGAATACAGGCATGAACCATTGGTTTCAGCAAATGATATTATAAACAAATATAGTACCCCGAAAGAAATCGAAATGTAATTTACCTCTATTTCAGTTCAATAGCATTTTGCCATCCAATGTTTCAGCGGTTTGTTTTTTGTGAGGCCTCCAAAAAGATAGAAAAATTGGACACTTGAAGATTATGGGGGACCCCCTATAGGCCCTCAAGATACGTGTTTTTTTTTTTTTAAATCTTCAACCGATTGTGGTTTCCCAATAGAACTACACCCTGGGCTGCTGTTCGCAGGACCCCAGCGTGATCACCAACACCCAACGTATCGATGCAGCACTGCCCACCATCAAGTATTGTTTGGATAAGGCAGGAATTGAATTAATGAATTAGGCCGCTCCAAACTATTTGTGGTCAATGAATGGTTCCAAACTATTTTTGGTGAATGACATTAAATGAAATGATGGCCCCTTTGTTGAGCGAAATTGCTGATTTTGCTTCTATATTCAGCAATTTTTCTAGGACTTGGGGTGTTGGGGTCGTTTGATTCAAAGGTGAAAAAATGGTCATCATCAACCGTCTAATTTTGGCATTCAGGATGTTTTTTTTGGCCTAGCAAACAGGGTATATATCGTGATTGAACACCTTTTTGTTGGGAAGTGACCAGCTTGTGTGACACAGTTTGATCAGTTTCTTTTGTCAAGATGAGATGCACACCGTTGGATGGTCCTTTTAGTTGTAATATTCCAGCAATTCTTAACCCGTCCAAAAATCTTTTGGTCCATGAATATCTGGCCGGTTGTACATCAATATGACCAAAAAATCTTTGAATTATAGCTACCTGCTTGTGTAACTTGTGGATCAGCTCCTTGTGATCCCCAGACCCCAGATGAGTAGAACCCTGACACGGGCCCGGGGATGGGATGGCTGGATCAGGGCTGCAAATCTGTGGTGCTTTGTTCCCATCTTGGTAGACCTGATGGCAGTGCAGTAGAGAAGTGCGACCCCTCCAATCCGGGGAGGGCTTGGAGGTTATGGGAACAATGTCGATCATTTTGACTAAACTCTGGCATTCCCAGACTTGGGAGTAAAAAAACGTGAAGAATGAACATTAATGCCATACAGTTACGAGAAACACCAAAAGAAAATGGATTCATGGTCCATCAACTCTTAAAAAAGTAAATTGCCAAGTGATCTAGCTCTGAGAATTTTTTCGCTGATGCAAGGCATCAGGATGTCGTCATTTTTGGTTGATACAACTTATTGACAGACTTTGTTTCTGGGTCTTCTCACTTCTCCCATTTTTTTTTCCATCCATGGACTGCGCCCGCCATGGATTGATTTTTCGTCGCCAGGTACTCGCTGGCTCCGGTGGCCAAGTGTGTCCAAGAGAAGTTGGGCAAGCCGGTGACGTTCCTGAAGGCTGGATGGATGGAAGATTCTCCCATTGATTCATGGGAAATAAAACACAGTTTGCTATTGAACATGGCCATAGAAATGGTTGATTTTACCTATTAAAAATGGTGATTTTCCATAGTTATGTAAACGTTTACCAGAGGGTATTCATGGGAAATGGGACTGTGATTGAAAAAACTAGGGTGGATTCAGGAGTGTCCGAACAAGGTTTGAGTTGAGAACTTGCAAATTCTCTTTTGCCAGATGTGACAATTAAATACAATTAATAGGTTCATGTGTGGGAGGTGGCTTGCGAGGGAGGCTTGGAAAGCTTCATTTGATTTTTCTTGGTGAACAAACAGCTGCCGGCGAGATGTTGCACATCAGTGGGTGCTGTGCAGGATTGCTGTGGAGCAGAGGTTGAAGCTGCTTGTGCCAACCCGGCGAGTGGCTCTGTGATTCTGTTGGAGGCTCGCTTTGGGTCTGACAGATTTTTTTAAAGAGCCACCAAATTTGATGCTTATCATATCTTATCATAATGTCCTCCATTCAAATAGCCATTTGGGAGTATACCCCATTTGTTTAGGAATTTTGGCGGGAAACGGAATCATTCGGATTTTTTGATGTTAGGGCACCAAATTCAATTTCCTATATGAATGGCCATCTTGAGGTACCCCGACCCACTTTGGTTGAGCAACAGCGGTGGATGGTGGAAAGACGGGTTGTGACCGGGGTTGTGTCTCCAGTGGGGGGGGATAGTAGCGGATAGTAGCACCACTTGCAACTAGCATTTGGCGGGGAACACCATAGAATTGCGGGAGTTTCTCATTTTCATTTGATTTCTTTGCGTCGCAGAGAACTTGGCGTCTGAATGAGTTTTGTCTAAGCAATGTGTGGTAGCAGATTCTTCCAGTTCAAGGGCTTTCCCTGGAGAAACGGCACGCCAGAACTGCCGATTCCACGTAGAAGAAGAAGGCAAGGGCGTCGACAAGGACCGCGTTGGCCTGTCTTTTTGCATCTTTCAAGTCATGATGAAATCCTTCCATGCAAGGATCATTCAAACCGATTCATTCAGGGCCTAGCTGCCTAGCTTTGATGACCAAACCAATCAAACGTACCGGAGGGTATCCGTACTGAGTTCGATGATTTTCCTTTTTGAATTCTCATCCTCGTGGATTTCCTCCGCTATGCCGCAAATGGGATGGGAGGATGGCAACAAGATCAAGGCCGACAAGGAAAAGACCAAGGCCTGTGACCTCAGATTGGATGGTGTGGCGGTAGCGGAGGTAGCTGCAAGCCACTATCCAAGCTGAAGGATATTGCCAACGCACATGGGAATTGGAGGTGAAACATGGTGAAACCTTGACCCCTAAGAGATGTTTATTGGAGGAGAAGCTACCTTTACCAGTTTCCACTATCGACAAAACATTCCAAGTATAGGGGGAGGTCATATGTTGTGACACCTTTTTTTTGGCCTTGTTTTTTATTGGGATCAACTGTACACCTGGGTAACCGGCGTAACCCTCCAAAAGACATTTCAGTTGACAAAATCTCAGAAACTTTCATATATGGGATGTCATCCTTCCCATTGACTTTAATATTTTCCACCTTTCTTTGGTTAAAAAAAAGGTTAATAATAGGTCAATATTATTAACCATGATTAACCATTATTAACCATGATAAATCATTATTGGAGTTGCAAAAAAAACTAGGGCTGTCTCTGTTTCAGCGAAAAAAGTTTCAGCGATAAATAGGGTGCGCGGAGGAGTTCCGGGCCTCCTTGGCGAAGTTGGCGGACGTCTACTGTAGGGGAGCCCGCCGGGGGCAAAAAATGAGGCTTTGACAGGGGACTAACCCACATTTGTGGCCCATTTGCACGGAAAATGATGGGAAAATGATGGGAAAATGATGGGAACATGATGTTAATAATGTTTTTTCCCGAATGCGTAGCGAAGGGTTCCCGTTTATAGTTGGGGGTCTGGGGGTTGGACCTTTGTTCGCCGCCAGTTGGTCGGCGCGTCGTTTTTCGCGTCGTTTTCGCGTCGTTTTTCGCGTCGTTTTTCGCGTCGTTAATTCGGTGTCTATAGGGGAAGCTGCAAAACCTCGTGTCTTTTGCTGCGTCGATGTCGCAGTGTCTATAAGAAGCTGCAAAACCTCGTGTTTTTTGCTACGTAGATGTCGCAGTGTCTATAGGGGAAGCTGCAAAACCTCGTGTGTTTTGCTACGTAGATGTCGCAGTGTCTATAGGGGAAGCTGCAAAACCTCGTGTTTTTTGCTGTGTAGATGTCGCAGTGTCTATAGGGGAAGCTGCAAAACCTTGTGTCTTTTGCTGCGTCGATATCGCAGTGTCTATAGGGGAAGCTGCAAAACCTCGTGTTTTTGCTACGTGGATGTCGCAGTGTCTATAGGGGAAGCTGCAAAATCTCGTGTCTTTTGCTGCGTCGATGTCGCAGTGTCTATAGGGGAAGCTGCAAAATCTCGTGTCTTTTGCTACGTGGATGTCGCCGTGTCTATAGGGGAAGCTGCAAAACCTCGTGTCTTTTGCTACGTGGATGTCGCAGTGTCTATAGGGGAAGCTGCAAAACCTCGTGTCTTTTGCTGCGCCGATGTCGCAGTGTCTATAGGGGAAGCTGCAAAATCTCGTGTCTTTTGCTACGTGGATGTCGTCGTGTCTATAGGGGAAGTTGCAACACCTCGCGTCTTTTGCTGCGTCGATGTCGCCGTGTCTATAGGGGAAGCTGCAAAACCTCGTGTCTTTTGCTACGTGGATGTCGCCGTGTCTATAGGGGAAGCTGCAAAACCTCGTGTCTTTTGCTACGTAGATGTCGCAGTGTCTATAGGGGAAGTTGCAAAACCTCGTGTCTTTTGCTGCGTCGATGTCGCAGTGTCTATCGGGGAAGCTGCAAAACCTCGTGTCTTTTGCTGCGTCGATGTCGCAGTGTCTATAGGGGAAGCTGCAAAACCTCGCGTCTTTTGCTGCGTCGATGTCGCAGTGTCTATAGGGGAAGCTGCAAAACCTCGTGTCTTTTGCTGCGTCGATGTCGCAGTGTCTATAGGGGAAGCTGCAAAACCTCGTGTTTTTTGCTACGCGGATGTCGCCGTGTCTATAAGGGAAGCTGCAAAACCTCGTGTCTTTTGCGGCGTCGATGTCGCAGTGTCTATAGGGGAAGCTGCAAAACCTCGTGTCTTTTGCTACGTAGATGTCGCAGTGTCTATAGGGGAAGCTGCAAAACCTCGTGTTTTTTGCTGTGTAGATGTCGCAGTGTCTATAGGGGAAGCTGCAAAACCTCGTATCTTTTGCTGCGTCGATGTCGTAGTGTCTTCAGGGGAAGCTGCAAAACCTCGTGTCTTTTGCTACGTGGATGTCGCCGTGTCTATAGGGGAAGCTGCAACACCTCGTGTCTTTTGCTGCGTCGATGTCGTAGTGTCTTTAGGGGAAGCTGCAAAACCTCGTGTTTTTTGCCACGTGGATGTCGCCGTGTCCACAGCTGAGCTGCAGTCTTTTGCTGCGTCGATGTCGCAGTGTCTATAGGGGAAGCTGAGTGCTTTGTGCAAGTTTTGTAGTACACAGTAGTACTGGGAAGTAGTTTGTGCAAGCTTTGTAGTACACAGTAGTACTGGGAACGACTTTGTGCAAGCTTTGTAGTACAAAGTAGTACTGCGAACGACTTTGTGCAAGCTTTGTAGTACAAAGCGGTACTGGGAAGTAGTTGTTGCAAGCTTTGTAGTACACAGTAGTACTGGGAAGTGCTTTGTGCAAGCTTTGTAGTACACAGTAGTACTGGGAACGACTTTGTGCAAGCTTTGTAGTACAAAGTAGTACTGCGAACGACTTTGTGCAAGCTTTGTAGTACAAACTGGTACTGGGAAGTAGTTTGTGCAAGCTGTGTAGTACACAGTAGTACTGGGAACGTGTTTGTGCGAGCTTTGTAGTACACAGTAGTACTGGGAAGTGCTTTCTGCAAGCTTTGTAGTGCAAAGTAGTACTGAGAAGTGCTTTGTGCAAGCTTTGTAGTACAAAGTGGTACTGGGAAGTGCTTCGTGCAAGCTTTGTAGTACAAAGAGGTACTGGGAAGTAGTTTGTGCGAGCTTTGTAGTACACAGTAGTACTGGGAACGTGTTTGTGCGAGCTTTGTAGTAGCACAGTAGTACGTGGAACCTGTTGTGCGAAGCTCTGGTAGTACACAGTAGTACTGGAATCGTGTTTGTGCGAGCTTTGTAGTACACAGTAGTACTGGGAAGTGCTTTTTGTTGCAAGTTTGGCAGTACACAGTAACCTGTTTGTACAAGCTTTGTAGTACGCAGTAATACTGGGAAGTAGTTTGTGCGAGCTTTGTAGTACAAAGTAGTACTGGAAACGTGTTTGTGCGAGCTTTGTAGTACACAGTAGTACTGGGAAGTAGTTTGTGCAAGCTTTGTAGTACACAGTAGTACTGGAACGTGTTTGTGCACTTGTAGTACACAGTAGTACTGGGAACGTGTTTCTGCAAGCTTTGTAGTACACAGTAGTACTGGGAAGTAGTTTGTGCGAGCTTTGTAGTACACAGTAGTACTGGGAACGTGTTTGTGCGAACTTTGTAGTACACAGTAGTACTGGAACGTGTTTGTGCAAGTTTTGTAGTACACATTAGTACTGGGAAGTAGTTTGTGCGAGCTTTGTAGTACACAGTAGTACTGGAACGTGTTTGTGCAAACTTTGTAATACACAGTGGTACTGGGAAGTGCTTTGTGCAAGCTTTGTAGTACACAGTAGTACTGGGAAGTGCTTTGTGCAAGCTTTGTAGTACACAGTAGTACTGGGAACGACTTTGCGCAAGCTTTGTAGTAAAAAGTGGTACTGGGAAGTGCTTTGTGCAAGCTTTGTAGTACACAGTAGTACTGGAACGTGTTTGTGCATTTGTAGTACACAGTAGTACTGGGAAGTGCTTTGTGCAAGCTTTGTAGTACAAAGTAGTACTGGGAAGTGCTTTGTGCAAGCTTTGTAGTATAACGTAGTACTGGGAACGACTTTGTATAGTGTGGAGTGGGGAGTGTAGAGCATGTAGAGTGTGGAATGTGCAGTGTAGATTGTAAAAAGTAAGAGTGTAAAGTGTAGAGTGTGAAGTATGGAGTATATATTGTAGTGTAGAGTGTGGAGTGCAAAGTTTGGAGTGTGGAGTGTAAAGTGTGGAGTGTGGAGTGTAAAGTGTGGCGTGTGGAGTGTAAAGTGTGGAGTATGGAGTGAGGAGTGTGGTGTCTGGAGTGAGGAGTGTGGAGTGTAAAGTGTTGAGTGTGGAGTGGGGAGTGTAAAGTGTGGAGTATAAAGTGTTGAGTGTGGAGTGAGGAGTGTAAAGTGTAAAGTGTAAAGTGTGGAGTGTAAAGTGTAGAGTGTGGAGTGTAAAGTGTGGAGTATGGAGTGAGGAGTGTGGTGTGTGTAGAGTGTAGAGTGTGTTGGAGTGTGGAGTGTGGGGTGTGGAGTGTAGTGTGTGGAGTGAGGAGTGAGAAGTGTGGAGTGTAAAGTGCTGAGTGTGGAGTGAGGCGTGAGGAGTGTAAAGTGTGCAGTGTGGAGTGTAAAGTGTAGTGTGGGGAAAGTGGAGTGGAAAGTGTCGAGTGTGGAGTGTGGAGTGTAAAGTGTAGAGTGTGGAGTGTAAAATTGTAGAGTGTAAAGTGTGGAGTGTAGAGTGTACAGTGTAGAGTGTAAAGTGTAGAGTGTGGAGTGTAAAGTGTGGAGTGAGGAGTGTCAAGTGTAAAGTGTCAAGCGTGGAGTGTAAAGTGTTGAGTGTGGAGTGTGGAGTGAGGAATGCAAAGTGTAAAGTGTGGGAAGTGCTTTGTGCATGCTTTGTAGTACAAAGTAGTACTGGGAAGTGGTCTGTGCCGGCTTTGTAATACAAAGTAGTACTGGGAAGTGTTTTGTGCAAGCTTTGTAGTACAAAGTAGTACTGGGAAGTGCTTTGTGCACGCTTTGTCGTAGACAGTAGTACTGGGAACAACTTTGTGCAAGCTTTGTAGTACAAAGTAATACTGGGAAGTGCTTTGTGCAAGCTTTGTAGTACACAGTAGTACTGGGAACGACTTTGTGCAAGCTTTGTAGTACAAAGTAGTACTGGAACGTGCTTTGTGCAAGCTTTGTAGTACACAGTAGTACTGGGAAGTAGTTGTTGCAAGCTTTGTTTGTAGTACACAGTAGTACTGGGAAGTACTTTGTGCAAGCTTTGTGCTACAAAGTAGAACTGGGAAGTAGATTCTGCAAGCTTTGTTGTACGCAGTAGTATTGGGAAGTGCTTTGTGCAAGCTTTGTAGTGCTGTG